CGACGCTCTATATTTCAAATAAAATACAAAAAACTTAACAAATTCTGTAGTAGTGTTTGATTTTTGTTCCACTTGCTACGATTATTAATAAATTCATGACGATAAAAGTAATTAATTAACATTAGTTGTCGAGGTAAATTAATTTTTGGTGTAAACTTCTGTTACTCCATGAAACGCAACTTTTGAAATTTGTCGTACGTTCGAAATAAATTCGAAATTTACTTACAATCTATAACATCAACGTACGCCATCGTATAACATTAATGAATATATATCGTTTTATCACTGATAGATATTCATATTGCAACTCGTAAAATTTCTATTGTCTTGCGATCCGAGTAAGGTCACCTGGTAACTCGCGCGCATTTTTTTATGATTTTACGTTTTCTTCTCTTGGCTCTTCTTGACTAGTGAAAAACAATATTCATAGCTCCTTTCATCGAGTATACATACGTACATAGCTTAACGTAAATTTTGCTTACTCGTTATTAGCTTAATTCCACCCTCCGGCTTGAAGGACGATTGAGCTTTCTTATCTTTCGATATAAATCCTAAACCATATTCCATTTTGTATACGGGAAGTGGGATTACCGTGGACGAGACTGGTACCATTACTAAAACAGCGATAGCGAAAACATCATGTTAGAAATTTTGTTTCGTTCATTGAGCAAATTCGTCTAGTAGGGTGGTAAACTAAATTTCACGACATCCTTGGTCATCGTGAATTTTCGTGTACGGTTGACAGTTTAACTAAACTCTTTCGAATGGGAGTACGCATTGCAGTCAGAAAAATTGAAGCGTCATACAACGGCAAATCACGCGATTGCCTGGACGAATATATATACGGGAGAACCACTTTTCGTGTGGTAGGAGAGAGGTGCGAAAGTAGAAAGGATCGCGAAGCGGCAAACATTCACCCGCGGCATACCTAATGAGGAATATTTGCTTATCGCTTTTAATCGAATATCGATTTATCGAACGGACGGCGGTCAGCGCGACGTCGACCGGAGTGTTTAATTACTGGCCCTCGATGAACCGTTGCGAATCAAATGAAAATCGGGTTGTAACCGAGATAGCGAACTGTTCCCAAAAATCCTTGTTATTCCAACTGCCTACGGTCTCATTATCGCGAAATCTTATTTAAATTCTCGTCATCGCTATTCGATACTTTGCAGGCGGGATCTTAGTTAATTCGTTGTTCCTCATTGCTAAAAGATAATTTATGAGAGTCATGGTAAGAAAGGAACAAATGGAACTGTTGAATGGTAGTATATCTTCGTTACGTAAGTACAAGATATTTCATTCATAATATTTTTATGCAAAAATAATTTTCGTCCGCGAAGCGACATTTAAGAAGCATAAATTTTCCATGTAAATCAATGCAATCGAAAGATCAACGCACGCGAATGCATTAAAATGTTTCTGATCGCGTAACTATTTCATCAGTTTGCATGTCATGCTGAACTATATGTCGAATTAATACAGATGCAAATTAATTTATAATCCACGAGGTTAGCCGAAAATCGATACGACATATGATGTCTTTTCCTAGCATTTTCACGTGTCCAAAATAAATTCCAAAGTATCCTTTTTTGTTCTTTTCACAAGCGTAATTTACATGTCGTAAATTAATTGAAACATTTCTCATCGTTTATATCGGGTAAAGTGGTAGTTTATTCATCGATTATATTTCATACGATAAAATCTGATGTTTCAGATCTCATACATTTAAGTATCGATCATTTATCTTTTCGTAATGCTATAACATACGTTTGTGTAATATCCGTCTTACAATCTCGATATTGTATCACGATATTCTACAAACTGATGGATTTGGACCAACCATAGAACTTGTCTAGATGCGAAATCCGAAAGTCAATTATTAAATCGATTTAACCATCGAAATATAAAATTCATCGTGAAATGTTCAAGTCGATTGAACGTCTAACAGAGCCATCTCTAGTTATTCTTAGCTAATCACTAGTGACGTTCTACAAAGCAGAAAGGGCATTCGTAACACTTGACACGAATATCTTTCAGATATTCTTGCGTTCTGTAATCGCAGCGGGAAAAGTAAGTAAATCCTTTCGAATTACTAACTCGCATGAGGATTGCATCCCATGCGATACACCCTGCCGAAGTCTTTTACGTTGCTTTCCTTTTGTTTCTTTTCTTTCTACGGTTCTTCCTCTTTAGCATTCTGACAATAGTCAAGAAGGGTTCGTAAAGATTCCGTTATCGTTTCTCGAGGCGCGCTTTTCACGTGGGCGTCGATAGAATTTACAGATAAGAAATCGTCCGGGAGATACATCGGCGTATAGTCGATGTACAAAGTAGCTAATATCCGAAGAACGGGTTTATTAATCTCCGTCCGGTGAAGTGGAAAATTATAAGGCACGATGCATCCCCGGCGAGATAAACGGAACACTTTATTGCTCGATAAAGTTGCGCGCGAGAGAATGCCGCATCGCGCTGCCGCGTAGAATCACTGCCAGCGATGGTTGTCGAGGAAAATCGGCCGAAAGTAATTCGAACGGCCAGCCTCGTGTAAAAACGAGCGCAATTAGCCGTGTTCGGACGACTCTAAGTGGCAGCGGTTAGAAGCCGTGTCAGTTTCCTAGAGAAATTTTAATTGCATATTAATCGTTTCGCGCGCAGCTTCGTATTAATAGCGATCGAACACTTCGCTGCTATTAAGAAGCCGATAACTCGATATTACTAATAACCCAATAACTCGACGTTACTAATGACCCGATAACTCAATTTTCCTAACAGCCTAATAACTCAATGGTATTAGCTTTACGACGCGGCCCTTCCAAATATAAACCGTGCCCACTCGAACTTAACCTCTATCTTTGATTAACCTCCCAGTTTCTCTATCTTTGTTCGTATGTTTCAGTCTGGTGCGAGTCCAAGTTGGCGACATTCTGCGTTTCGAAAACTCGAAGGCAAGGAGAGAAATAGCTTTGACGTTATTAACGACGGGTCAATAAATATCGACGCGTAATTTCACGGGAAAGGACTGGCGCACCTTTCAACGCTCGACTCCACTAACGAAAGGAAACGTCGAGCGACAAAGTGGTGCGTTCTACTATAGTAATCAGTACAGGTATCCGGGCATCTTGGAAGGCAACGGACAGCAACGAGGCAAGAGACACGCGTGTTCATCCGATCCAGGAACTGCATCGAGGATACGATCTACTCGGGACCACGGCCACGCTATAATCGGAGCCCACGCCGCACGCGGACTGACGTCATCGCCCCGTTATTCCCACCTGTCAAACGTCGCCTCAAGGAAATTCGGACTTGAAGAGATCGCCCTTTATTTGGTCAAGCCCGGTCTCGAGGAGACGTCGACGAATCGCAATCGTTTCTCAATTTCGCTTTTGCTAAAATTCCAGCTCGTTAGAGTCTATGATGCTTATAGCCCGGAATTTATTCCGCGATTAGTCGCTCGTTTTGTCGCCGACAAAGCACGGGAAGACAAATAACGAGAGATCGAGTAACTGGCGTGGAGTTAATCGAGTTAATCCGGAGATACTGCGATATTAGGATAATCCTCCTGAAACGGAGAATTATTACGTCGGATAACGATACATTCGTCAACCTTCCGTTTATCCTTACCACTTACACGGTCTGAGACTAACAAGGTAAACAGGCTCCGTCAACCTCTAGCGACGCAACTATCTGCACGAATTAGTCATCATCTGGAGTTAGATCACAGGCTACACCTGCTTGTCGAGATGCGCGCAAGTGCTCGCTCATAAATGATTTCTGAATTATAGGAACGCTTTTGGACACTTCTGGCACAAGGATGCGGGCAATGATGCAACTCGGGGAGAAAACAGAGGGAAAAGAAATTTGCTCGTAAGGAAAGAGAGGTCAAGGCTTTTCTCCGTGTCGATGCGGCGCGGCAACAATTAAGGTGAAAGCTTTTCCGCGGCGAGATGTTCGCGCGCGACCAAGACCTCGATCTGCATCGAGACCGGAGAAAGAGAAACCGAAACTTTCGATTTTTTTCAGAAGCACCTCGTCCGGCTCGTTATCCCGCACTTCTCGGGCTCCGAGATTCACCCAGGCAAAAAGCACTTTCACGAAACGAAGGTCTGGTTGCGAAATCGATCGAGGTTTCATCGACGGGCTGGCAAGCTCGCGAGGATGGCTGGCCGAGACGCGCGAAACTCGTGGAAACAACGAGACACGGGGGAACGAGCGCGTTTTGCAACGCGGAAATCGACACGGCTGGAAAATTGACAGCGTCATTTTCGTCGAGGCGCTTGACACGAAGTAAAAGCAGTTTCGAGCAAATTCTAGCCGCAGAGAATAAGCGAGATGCACGAGAAAGTAAAGCGGACACTTTTTCAACGCATGACTGACGAGGAAAGAATAGGTACGGCTGGTTTCACCGCGCACAAGTGCCACGAATTGTTCCCAAGTAAACATCCACTGCCTACGCGATCGCGTATATACCAACGCGAATAACTCCATGTACCCGCAGTTAATTTTTAACTTGGAATTAATAGCTACTCGAAGATATCGATCGCACTGGACACGAGGAACGCGCCGAACCGAGAGAAAACTAGGCGACTCACCTGGCTCGAACACGTTGTCCTGATTCCTCTTGTAGATGGTCGGTTTCGCGCACGCCATCGCGATCGTCGCGAGGAAACAAACGAGTAGGAAGCTCGATAGCCGCGACATGGTCCGCGGAAGGATGGATTGTATTTCCGGTTACGAGCGCGGGCCGATCGAGAAGAACAAAGTCGCGAGGTTGCTTGTCTCGGCGATGTTTGGACCGGCACTACGCGGAGCAAAGACCAAAGAGGTGAAAACACTTGCCACGAGTGGGGAAAGCTGCGAATAAACAACAGAATTGCCGCTCTCCGGCAGCTTCGGATTTCTAGCGCAGCCGAGTGCCGCGACAGTCGAACGAGTTCGACCGCGAACGGAAACGAGTCTCCGTTCGAAATCTTACCTTCGCGCCCACCCTTCCGACCATCCTTCGTCTTTCATTCGCGACCATTTCGAATTCAGCTAGCTGAATCTGTCACGTCGATGAACCATTACGCGTTTCGTTCTGCATTCCATCATCGGTTGTCCGATCCCGTCGGCTAACTCGATCGGAACGATCATCTATAACGCCGTCGCGATATGCTCCACGTCGACGATTACAACATCGAATACACGTAATCGAATGATTCGTGATGGGCGCACAAAACGACAATGTTGCCCAATTTTGTTGCGTTTCGACGTTTATTCGTAGCGAATCACCCGAACTCGTGATACCTGTTTCTAAATGTCACGCGTGGAACGCAACGTGGTTCCCGACTTTGAGAACCGAGAGCGAAAGGTAGGGAATTGTACGAACGGTAGACCTATAAGGTTTCCGCATTTCGGTACTTGACGAAAATTACACCAGTTTCTCACCGATTTCCCTTTTCCCCAGAAAGAAAAGTCGCAAGACGGATCGTGCTAATTAACGCGAAGTCACGCCCACGATGGAACGAAGAGGAGGAGGCACGTAGTCCAAAGACGAGAGAGAGAGAGAGAGAGAGAGAGAGAGAGAAAAGGAGAGAAAAGGAAGGCGTTGCAGAGGAATCGCGAAGGTGCGTCAAGGATTTGTATTAATCATTGCCGATGCTCGCCACTGGTCGATCCGCCTAGTTTATCCTCGTCCAACGATCGAAGATGTTGCACGAGCAACGGGAAGCTCGAGGCTCGTGTCGCAGCTGGGAAAACGCAGAGGTGGTCGACGCTGTTTCGCGCGTTTAACGCGTACCCTCTTACCTTTTTTCTTCCCACTTGGTACCCGGTCGCGTAACCCCGTCTCGGTTGCGCGACTCGCAACCGCGTGGCGTGAAAAGATCGGGAAAGCGGAGGATTTGGCGAGGAAACGTTTCACGGAAGGATAGCAACGATAAGAGGACCTATCCTAAATCGTAGCTTAATTACGGTTGCTCGGTCCGGTTTGGCTCGGTGGTTTGGTAGCAGGGCCGGGCGTGCCATAACGGCGGTCTAACAATGGGAACTGGGTTAAAAAGTGAAAGGATCCAGGGATCGGAGGAGGAACGACCGTGGCTTCTATGCGGCGCGCTATTCGCTATTCGCTATTCGCTATTCGCTATATGCCGGGATATACGCCGGGATCGTACGCGTGGTCGTCGTACCGCGCTTCCGACGTTTTTCAAAATTGCCGGAAACTTGGGTTAATCTTCCATCTTTCTTAACTCTTTAACAACCAGGCACGCTAATCGACGACCCATCTGAAGGCAACGTTAGCCACTGGAAACGCCAATTGCCGTCCTATACGAATCGTATCGCGATGCGTAATCATTGGTACCACCTTTGCGTCTTGGTGAAAAGGAAGTGTACGGCATCGTGCTTGATAACCGTCATTCAGCGAGTCATCGTTCACGGCAAAAGCGTCTGGTTAACTGCGATTCTCTGTCCCTCGAAAATTTCCCATTAGCGCGAGAATTAATTCTCCTTTTCTATCTCGAGGTAAACAGCGAGCGAACGATGAAAAGTTCTCAACGTCGACTTTTCTCTCTTTTTCTCTCTGTAACCGGCAAACACTCCGACAGAGAAATCCTTTTCTCCCTCTCTGCCTTTCTCTCTTTCTCTCTCTTTCCACTTTACTCTTTTTCCGCGTTAATTACCCGCTGTTTTTTTCCTTTCGCATCTTTCATTCGTCTGTTCGTTGGCGAGCGCAACCACCGAAATCGGGAAACGGCGTCGCGACGCTTATTCCATCGTTTCAGACGCACCTCAGCGTTCACACGCGCGTACACTCTTCGTTCTCGAAGTTTCCTCGTCTCCGCCGATTAACTTTGTTCACCACCGTGCTAAACCTCCGCTTCCACCCTCGAAGGACTTATCGCGTTTACCTAGACCTACCTACGTGCGAACTTTCTTCGTTTTTCTTCGCGACTTGCCTCCGTGCAGCCCAATCGTTGGGGAACCCCGTTACGGCTATTTACGGAGACCGTCGTTCGATACTTTTCACACCTATCACCATTATCTCGAAACAAATAGACGTTCATAGACCGCATAGCCGCTTTAGCGTTTAGGAAGTCGCAGCGAGATAAGCACCGTCGAGCGAAATCGATTACGGTAACTCAGCTAGGCCGCGCGAGGTCTAGAAACGTTAAGGACGATAACGAGAGCACAGGGACGAGACGGGAGTTCGCAAAGACCTTCTTTATCCCTACACCATACACGTTTCACCTGCTGCGTCTGGTTTCCCTTGGAATGATTGATAGCGATACGGGTTTACCGAGGAAATAAACAAAATCACCGGTTGCCGGGAAATGGAAATTACCGTGTAAGTAGGAAATAACGCACGCAACAGGGTAGCTGGCAGGTGGTGGTAAGCTAGTGGCTGACCAGACACGTTTCGCATCCACTGACGGAACGAGTCGGTGGCAAACATTTGTCATCGGCCTTTTTCTCGGCGTCTTCTCGCCCGCAGCGAATTATTTGCCACGCCTGCCAAAGCTACTTTGCCAGCACTTTATTCGAAAGTCAAAGGAAACCTGCAAGGAACAATACTGGCGTGGAACAATGCCTTCGAGCTGCGACGAGTACTCCGTATTCTCCGCGTCTGCCGCAAGCTTCCGAGCAACTTACCCTTGTACGTGCACGCGCCTATGTTGGTTGAAACCGCCATTGTACCGTCGCATCCTTCGTTGTTCTCGTTTAAAAACGTTTAACGCGTTTGGAAATACTCGTGGAATGGGATCGGGAAGGTTTACCTCGTGCTTCGATCGTCCGACCGTCTTCCGGACGGCGATTTCGCCGGGTCAGCTACCCTAACCTAATCTCGTTTCGCGTAGCCTAACCCACGCGACGGCGAGAGGCGAAAAATTAGAAAAAGAAAGGTCGCGCTGGGAAACACGTTGGCTATCTGGATCGTACGGTCGAAGTACGTTCACGAATCGCCGGTAAGAGGAAGTCGAGCGCGAATGGAAAACTAGAACGACAATGGGTAGGATTGGTTGGAAGGGGCGGTGTGCACGGTGCAAAGGCATGCACGGTGACACATCCGGGTCTTGCCACGTATAATCTAGCCGTTACGTACTGGCAGTCCGTTCTCGTATCGGTGGAGATACACGAGCCGAAATTATTCCGTCCACCCTCGACCTCGTAGGGGTGTCAGCGGCGGATTGGAAGAGTGCACGTGACAGGAACGTCACGAACGACCAGGCAAATGGTATGTGACGTCATGTGCTCTTTCAAGCAACCACCGGCTGAAAATAGAAAAAACACACACGGCTTCCCGATTTTCAACCGAAGGGCTGCCCATTTCGCGATCGATGCGTCTCCTGACGTCTCAACGCGTAACGTCACGGAACGCGCGTCTACTTAAAAACCAAGACGTTAATTGAACGCGTTGGAGGGGTAGCTATCGACGGCGAAGCACCCTTTAACGCTATCCATCGATCATCCTCGAAACGACGTAGGTCGATCCCGTAGCGAATAATCGTTGTTTTCGATAACTCGCAGTTGTCAGCGGCACGACGAAATTAATTCGGGCTCATCGATGCCCTTTGTTCCGTGTAATTTCCTGCAAAGACACGAATACTCGTTAAATACTCGGGCCTCGTCGAAACGTGGAAACATCGCGAACAGCTGCTCGTGAAACGAAATGCGTATCGACGAGAAGAGTATACGACTCGTTGTTAGGCCGACCCTCGATCGGGAGAAAAGCGTTCCATCGGACGGTAATAAAGTCCCGTATAAAGTTTCAACGTGGACAAACAAGTGTTCCGTTTCGTCGGCTCGACCGTCCCTCGAATCTTCGCTTTTGTCCATTAAGGGCGATGCGAGGGAGATCGAGCGGGATCGACGAGACGAATGATTCATTCGGTAAGTACATCAACGTACGACCGATGCGCGCGTTATTCCGGAATGTACACGCGAAAATCATTAGGGCGAGGGATCCCTTTGTGTCCGAACGAGAGCATTAAAGTTAAATTCTAGTTACAAACGGCCCACGCGCCCGACAGACCTGCCACGTGTGAAAGATTCGACGCTTTACCTCGAATAGCAAATTACGCTCGTGTATACTTTGCCGAGAACCGACTCGCCTCTGCGAGCTTTTAAATCCTTAACGCGTTTAATCGAGCCTCGTATGCGCTATGAAAGTTTCTCCGAGAAACAAAGTCGCGCCACCGCCCTCTCTCGGGTCCCGTAGCTACCAGACAAATTCCCTCGTCGTTTAGCGTCGCCTGCTCAAAAGATTCGGGTATTCCCCTCGACTGCCTCGCGGAAAGGGAGCTCCAAGATTCCTACCAACCTTTCAAACGCTCGTGCATAGCCTCTCCACTCGATTCGTATCGTTGCTCGAAGCTTTTCGACCACGAGATTAGCCAACAGCGTTTAGAAGGTACTCGTCACTCGTGGATGCCTCGTTGACGCAACGTTTTCTACGCGCGTTGTAGCCACGCTCTTCTCCGTTGCTCGTTTCCGTGCAGCGTCTTGGGTATGAAACGATCGATCGTAAGAGAGGCTACGATAGCGACTCGAGGCGAGATTTATAACTGGCTTTATGATTTCAGGAACGATCGCGAGTTCTATCGCGTTTCCACGAGGCGCGTACACGAAACGAGGCGGAAGCGGAAACAACGCAGATAAAGGAGTCGATAGCTCCGAGCTTTATCGACGATCATCCTTCGGCGAACCCTCGAAATCGCTGCTTGCCCACGGAATGGCCAATCCAGTCCAACTGACGGAAGAGACATCGATGGAAAAATGCGAGGTATCCGAGAATCTTTCGCAGCACCGGTTCCTTTACCACCTTATCCTCGATTTACTTCCAGGCACCCAGGCACCCAGGCACCCTCTTGTATCGAACACCACGGCGACACGAATCTTTCAGAGGGTAAATCGAACGGGAACAACTGCGAGATGGATCGAAATCGGCTCGACGAAGTCTTCAGCATGCGTCTTCGAAGGAATCTGCGAAAACTAGCTACGTCGTCGTTTCAACGTCCTTCGGTCTTCGAATCGTTCCGATGGAATGGAAGTCGTTTTAGCTGATTTATACGGAGACACGGCAAAGCGGCGTAAACGCGTCGTATCGCGATACACGAGCCACAGGAGTACATCGAGCTACTTACTATGCACACCCTGTCCTTCGAAGTCCACGCGAATCGCGGTCGGAACTCGAGCTCGCTCCGTTTCGTTCATTCGAAAGGGAGACACTCGAACGTCAACGTCCCGATTGCTCGTGAACGTCGGCCATTTGGGATATTAGGATTGGACCGGTGGAATTGCCGTAGAACGACTCGAACCGCCGAATAGCTTCGCCCTCGAATTCTCGTCCGACGGTTCGATCGACTCGTACCTCTTCTCTTTTTCTCCTTTTCTCGACGGTCCACGTGAACGTCCCTGACTCTTTCAGCCGTTGGAGTCTACCGTGTAACGCGTATCCCTCATCCGGAGACGACCCGCGCGCATAATCGACGCGGCAGACGAGCTACGGCTTTTACCTTTCCATCGACTTTCCCGATTCTTCGGTAACGAGTACCGGATATTCTCGAAATACAGCTGGCTACCGGCTAAACTCGGCACCTTCGCCACTCGTAGGAGATATAAAGCATCTCGATATTGATTTTAGCAGTCGCGCGAGGATTCGGTGCTCGCCGCGAACGACCGAGCCGCGTCTGGCTAGAGCCAGGAATCAACGTCGACGCACAGACTGCGTCTGGTATTCAGGGAAATCGGTTGACAGCCGTGAAACCGTATCGACGGCTCAGCGGGACTCTCGTAGCTATGGGAAAAGGGAACGGGTAGACGGGTAGAGCGACCTTTCACGGGACGTTGGCTCCTGTTCGCGATAGAACCGGCGCGCCCAAACGTTCGCGACGTATGCTAATTACGAGATATTCGTCGATGCTCGAGCAACGAAACCCGGAACTAACGAATTAAGCGAAGCGACGCAGACCGCGAAAGGAACGGCGACTGCTTCCGATCGCTAGATTGCCAGGCGATTATTTCTCCATCGATAATTACACCCTCGTTGCCCGTGTACCGAGATAACAATTGCTCGTTACTCGCATAAGGTCGCGACGCTTTACAGCCTCGTTACTTTGCCTCGTCCTGCGGACGATTCCGAACGGGAACTCGGTTCGAGGGATAACGCGAATTCTATCGCGGTGCGTCGTTCAGAACGAGACCCGATACCGTTCAACGTTGCTTCCAACCACGCGAAATTGTACCTCCGCGAAGCGTAACGGTCGGCGATAGCTTTAGGGAGAGATTCTCCGACGATTCCCCGAAGATCCCTCCGAAGGTGCTCCGGATTCGTCTCCGATCGATTCGAAGATCGTCCGATCGGCTCGTATTCGTTTTATTCCATTCGCGTGGCATCGTCGGTCGAATTGATACGCCGAGGATATCGAGGTTTACGATATACCGGAGTAATCCGTTCCATCGGAGCGACGCACGCGAATCAATCGAAGCGCCGTTTGTGGGTCGTGCACCTTTGAAGCCCACCGGGTTACGACGTCGCGCGAGATATCCGGCTATATTCGGTATGACCATTCCTTATGGATTTTACACGAATGTGCACTCAGCGAGGCACAATGGACACCCCGGTGACTAAGCCGCATTTCCGGGACACGGAGAAATCTCCTATTCTCCTGGCCCGTTCGCCCGCTGCTTTCCTCGCAACCGCGCCACGCCGTCCTCCCGACAACCGCGTGATTAATGAACGGTAGCTCGGTAAAAATCCTCGGGCCGTTGCAATCTATGAGTTCCACGCGGGAAAGACCGATCGACGAGTTTTTAACCGTTCCTTCCTTCCTTCCTTCCTTCGTCCTCTGCGCGTCCGGGCTTTGCCTCTCGGCTTCCTCGCGGAATCTCTCGTTCTCGTGCGGCATAGCCCGACTCCAGGCTAGAAACTCGGAAGCCTTGTGCTCGATTCGGCGTCCTCGGTACGAAGCTAAACGGAACGAGCACCATGCCTCTCGAATGTCTCTCGTGTTCGTAAATTACGTTACACGCGATCCCGTAACGGACGTGGAGTCGTTTTCCATTTGCGAGCGTACGACGACACATCGGCCGGTACACTGCCCGTTCAGTTTTACGAGTCCAGAGGTGGCAACAGTCGCCTCGTGGAAATTTCTCCTATTCCGCCAGCACAATGGAGCGTCGTTATCGCGCACGCCATCCGGCGCGCATAATTTTCCACGGAAAAACCACGCGGCGGGTTAAACGTGGCAGCCGGAGATAAAACCTTTCCACCATTCGCCACCTTCGGAGCTTATCGATACGCGGCGTTTCCAATTGCGATCTCGAATCCCGATTTTTCGAGATAATTTCGCGGGAGTTGGCGAGATTTCGCGAGATTTCGCGAACGTTACGATCCAGCGAGATTTTTTATTTCGAACATTTTGCGGCGACCTTCGACGATGCGTAAGACGAAACGGTCGATCGCGCCGGCGTTATGTACTCGTGAAGCTGTTAGTCGCGTGACGCACGGTCACACGTTGCCGTCAAACGGAAAATCAATCGCCCCAGCCGGCCGGTTTGCGTAACCAACCAGGCGAAACCCTGGCCGAAATCGATCAACGATCGCCAATAGGGAAACGAAAGTCGCCGGAGCGACGTACGCCTCTGCACGCCTCTGCACGCCTCTGTACGCTTCGACGTGGCAGTTGGATCATCCCGAATCGCGCGATTGCTCGCGGATCCTTCTGCTACTCGATGTATACCCGCAGGGTCGATAACTCGTGTAATCGCAATCTGTTGCGTCGAGAGTGGATAGGCCGGAATGCTCGAAAGGGTGGTTAAAAAGAAGGATCGCGCGTGTCGCGGCGAAGCAAACGTACGTAACGGGCTGAGAGAGAGAGAGAGAGAGAGAGAGAGAGAGAGAGAGAGAGAGAGAGAGAGAGAGAGAGAGAGCGAGGCGTGTGGATTTTCACGAGGCTGGGAGCACGCGTGCGCGCGATTACGCGTATCCCTGACAAATAACCGAACACAGCCATTCTGGCATCCCCTATGAGCCCTCCGAGAGCTCGTAGGGGACGGTTCGACGGAGATGGACGCGGAGGAACCGCGTGCACCCCGCCAACGAGCCAACGAACGGGCGAAAGAGAGAAAGAGAGCGAGTCTGCTAGGTACGGAAAGGCGTAGGAACGAGCGGGACAGGGAATCGTGGAGGAACTGGAAAGAGCAGAGGCGAAGGGTGGTTACCGGTAAGAAGGGTGTACTACCCCTTGCAAGAGCCGAGTCTTACCGCGTTAATTGCAAGTACTTCCCTCGGGGTACCGCAACGGGTATACAGTTCCACCCACCTTGCAGGTTCCACCCCATCCAGTAGGGTTTAAGGGTACGCAGGGATGATTCGCGCACCCCTTTTTCCCTTTTCATGCTCACCCGGGTCCTTTCATTCCTCGCCAGTGGTTAAAATATTAGGATTTCCCCGAGGTCTCGTGCGTTCGTGTTAGGGCTATCGCGCTAACCCCCGCCACCCTCTTTCAACCCGATTTCTCTCTCGCTCCCTGCCTCTTCTCTTTCTCCACTGACTCGTCAACGGCTCGACGCGACGCTGCTCCAGCCGATTCCGCTCTCCAAAACTCTCCTTACTCCTTGACACCCTCGTTCCAAGCAACGGGCCAACATCTTTCCCTGCGTCGCGATCTCACTCAAACGACTTACCACCATCTCCGATCGATCGATACTCGATAAGCGTCTGATAGGATCTGATAGGACCGACGTGTTCGTAGAACGAGTTGCGTTGCAATTATTCTTCTCGTTGACTCTTCTGTCGTCACGACGAGGCAGGTAGGATGATGTAAGGGAGGAAAAGAAAAAGGGTGGTTACGCGGCGACAGATGCGAGATACCGGAATGTAGAACCTACTAAATTACTTTCATCTCGAGTGCTCCAGTTTTTCTTTCATACGTTCTCGGCTTGTTACGCCCGCACGCCTCTAATTATCGTCTTATCGCGATGGACGCGTACTCGCCTCGAGTCGAAAAATCCGACGCTAAACTCTCTTTCCCATTCGTTTATTTCAAACAACTGTCTAGTTTATTCTCCACGTTCGCCATGGCTGTAATAGCTCCCACTTGTTCGACGTCTTCGAGTTTCAAACGATACTCTGAGAATTCTATGCAGGCGGGAAATGCTTAATGCATAGCTCTCGACGTCCTTCTCCAAAGTTTAATTTTTGAGGAACGACGTCGATTACCAAGTCTCTGAGGAGCCAAGAATCTATGGCCGAAAATTTTCTAAGTAGCTGCAAAGGAATCACCCTAGTCTGCTGTGTCAATGACGATTATCTTTTTTCTTCAGATGCCAAGAAAGGAAACCCCGAAGAAAATCTTACTCCGAAGAGATATCACGCTCGCGTCGATCTAGAATTTTAAATCCGCGATCCGGGCTATCCATTCACTGTCCAGAAGAGGCTATTGCGGAGTCTAAGATGGATCGTACGTGTTACATAATACAAGACCCTACTGGCCGCTTTCGTATCGATGATACGCTCACCTGACTTGGAGCAAAGGTAAAAACGCGAAGGTTCCGACACTTTGTTTCAAATTTTCGCGTCCGAGGGAAAGCTAGAGAAAATTCCACTCTCTCTCATTCCGAATTATTCGCAAAGACGATAAATGGGTATTGGGAAGGGATACGAGAGACGCATCGTAACCGTCTGATGTCATTTTTCAGGTTATCCCCGCCATCCTTCCTTCTCGAACGCTGCTCTGCTACCACGAATTCGATCGATCGACCCGGCGATTTTTAAATCCGATATTCGTGCCAAAGGACCGAGGTATGCTCAAGAGCAATCTTTCCCGCTTTCTTTCGCGAGAGAAATTAACATCCGACTTTCTCCAGGCACGGAGCTGCTGTTGTTCCTCGTCGGGGAATCCATCGAGTGACAGGGAAGAAAAACTTATCTTGCTCCTT